TGGGAAGCCCAGTATAAGGGCCCCCAAAACGGAGAGTTGATCGGGCAAAGATGCAGGCAATTCGTGGGAATGATAACTTAGCCTTAAAGTCCCTACGGGCCTCTTTGTTGAAAAATCCCATTTTTGCGTCCCTTCTGCACAAAAGTTTGTGGGATGTCAGTTAGGACTCGCAGAATACAGAATGAGCAGATAGTTCAGCCACTCTTTGAGTGTCTCAGGTTTCAGCAACACACATGTGCCAGAAACGCAAATTTGGCTTATGTGTGTTGTGGGGACCTACGCGCCAAAACAAAAGCATAGGAGTAACATGTGCCTGCTGTAGAGACCTTAGTGTGGGGTTGGGGATGGGCGAAGCAGCTCGCTTGAAATGGAAGGCTAGAAGCCTGAATGTGCAGTAATGTTGATTTCCTCCTATAACCTTTCTATAGTCGTAGCAAAGTACATCCCAAAGCCAAAACATTCTAGTCTGTTAGGCTGCTGCATTACTTATTGTAAGTCCAAGAAGACTGGCTCTCATGGCCACGGCTTTTTACAATGGACAGGGTGCATGTGAGAGGGAAAGGAACCCAAATTCAGCGCACAGTCTGGTCACTTTAGCCTATCCTAACCCAGCGTTCTTCCAACAAGGGTACTTCCCTCACCCCAAGGTTGAAACCCTCACCCCTTACTATTGCAGACTCCCAAGACATTGTAGTATACCACAACTTTGGATATTTGATATGAGGAGGGGGTGGGCAATTCATAAAAAAGTTCACACTCCTTTCCCAATGGCTGGGTCCGGACCTAGAGGTCCTTTTCCAGAACTGACGAGTCCATAAGAAGGATGCGGGGGTGCCTTAGATTCACATGGTACCTAAGAAGCGGCTTTAGAAGGACGGTGCTTGTCAACAATGGAAACCTGGCATTTAGGGTTTATCGGTAGATGGGGATCTACAGAGTTTTTTATATAGGGATATTGGATATATAGGGTTTAGGGTTATTACTCCAACAATGGAGAACCAACTGGACAAGAAGATGGACAATTAAGTGATTCCTTGTTATACTTTGGGGAAGGGTATTGAGCGGGCTGTGAAGGGAGAAGTGATGAGGCAGCTTTACACAAGCCAGGTTGAGTAGAGAATTGAGCTGTAGTCTAAACTCCTGAAAGGGTGTTATATAAGGGATTATGTA